AGAGTTCTTGCTTAAGTAAATAGCACTTTGACTATCACAATATACTTTATACTCTTTCTGCTTGATCCCAAGTTCATGGAGATAGCATTTTAGCCACAACATTTCTTTACCAGCTTCAGCGGCAGCAATATATTCAACTTTTGTTATGGATAAAGCAACACATTTCTGCAATCTTGATTGCCAAGAAATGGCTCCCCCTGCAAAAGTGTAGACATAACTTTCAAAAATCAATATCTCCGACCATATCAGCATCAGTATATCCTTCCAAGATTGGATCAGCTCCCCCGTAACAAAGACATAACTTAGAAGTACCCTTCAGGTATGTGAGAATCCATTTAACTGCCTCTCAATGCTTCTTCCTAGGGTTAGAAAGAAAACGACTCACTACACCCATGGCATGAGCTATATCTGGCTTGGTACATACCATTGCATACATTAAACTTTCAACTGCTGAAGAGTACGGCACTGCAGACATCTTCCCCATCTCTTCCTTAGATGTGGGACATGATCTTTTGCTCAACTTGAAATGATTCGCAAGTGGAATACCCACTGGTTTGGCATCACTGATATTGAATCTTTCAAGTACTCATTCAATGTACTTCTCTTAAGATCGCCACAACTTGCCGTTCTCTCGGTCTCGAGTAAGCTTTCTGTCTATTCCGCCGCCCCGCCGCTTGTTCGATATCAAAAGACTTGGAAAGTTCTTTCTTCACTTATCTTCTCTGTATCATTCCCAACGATCAACATGTCGTCGACGTACAGTAGAAGAACTATGAAAGCCCCGTTTGAATATCTTTTGATGTAAACACACTCATCTGCAGTGGTATTCTTGTAACCTTGACTCTGCATGCATTAGTCAAACTTCTTATTCCACTGTGTTGGTGCTTGTTTCAGACCATACAAGCTTTTAGATAGCTTGCACACAAGGTTCTCACTTGAAACCTCAAAACCTTCTGGCTGCTGCATATAGATTTCTTCTTTCAAATCCCCGTGAAGAAAAGTTGTCTTCACATCCATATGTTCAAGCTCCAAATTCAAACTTGCTGCCAAGCCAAGTATGACTGGAATTGAGGTCATCTTAACAACTGGTGCAAAGATCTCGTCAAATTCAATCCCTTTCTTCTGTTGAAAGCCTTTAACAACCAATTGAGCTTTGTGTTTCACCACTTGTTCATTTGCATCTTTCTTCAACTTGAACACCCATTTGTTTTTCAAAGTCTTTTTCCCTTTTGGAAGTTTAACAATCTCATAAGTTTGATTTTTCTGCAGAGAATTTAACTCTTCCTGCATCGCAATCATCCATTTTTCTTTATCCTTATGATATATGGCTTCTTGAAAACTCTTTGGTTCTCCATCTTCTGTTAATAGAAGGTATTCAGATGAAGAGTACCTTTTTATGGTATATGACCTCGTTCAGATCTACGAGTGGGTAGAACCATCTGAGAAGAACTTCCAACATTGGTGTCTGGCAATATGGGTTGTGGTTCCCCTTGCTCTGGCAAGATGGGTTGTTGCTCCCCTTGCTCTGCATTCTCTTCTCTCTCATCGTCTTCTTCTAGTTCATCATCTTCATTGTTTCTCCAAAACAATTCTGGTGCTTCATCTGAAACTTGAGCACCCACATTTGACTTTTGAGACATCTTAGGTTTTTCCATGTCTTCTATTGTCAAATTCTCTTGGAACACAACGTCCCTACTTCTGATCACCTTTTTCTCTTTTGGATCCCAAAATTTGTATCTAAACTCTTCATCTTTATAACCAATGAAAATGCATGGGATTGACCTTGCATCGAGCTTCTTTCTGAGCTCTTTGGATACATGTGCATATGCTACACATTCAAATACTCTGAGATGTGAGTATGTCGGATCCTTACCAGTCCATATTCTCTATGGAACTTCAGAATTTAATGGAACTGAAGGTGATCGGTTGATTAGATAACATGCGGTCTTGACAGCTTCTCCCCAAAATGGCTTTGGTAATTTAGCCATATTCATCATGCTTCGGACACGCTCCATGATAGTCCGATTTCATTCTTTCAACAACGCCGTTGTGCTGAGGGGTACGTGGTACTGACTTCTCATGTCGAATGCCATATGTCCTTCAATATGCATTGAACTCCTTGGAAGTATACTCTCTTCCATTATCAGATCGGAGACATTTCAGCTTCTTTCCTGTTTCACGTTCCACCATGACGTGAAATGACTGGAAGTACTCGAACACCTGGTCCTTCGTATTCAAGAAATATACCCACACCTTTCGAGAAGCATCATCAATGAAAGTCAAAAAATTCTGCTTTCACCCAGTGATTCAACCTTCATGGGACCGCAAACATCAGAGTGTACTAAGCTTAACAACTTTGATCTCTTTGTTGAATTTGCATTGAATGAGACTCTATGTTGCTTGCCGAACAGGCAATGACTGCAAGAACCCAACTTAGCACTCTTATCAACCTTGATAATATCTTTTTTCATCAGGGTAGTCAACCCTTTTTCACTCATATGGCCAAGTCTCTGGTGCCATAGATACTGAGAAACCTCCTCTGCAACATTAAGACTTTCTGTACTAATTTTCAAATGTGTTTTATACAACGTCCCACAAACATGTCCTTGGGCAATTTTCAGAACACCCTTTGACAACTTCCATGTGCCTGCACCAAAGTGATTTTCATATCCTTCTTTGTCAAAAGCCACCACTGACAAAAGATTCAGCCTAAGATATGGCACATGTCTAATATCCTTCAATAGGATTGCACTCCCGGTTCCTGTTGTTGTCTGGATATCACCAATTCCGACAATATTAGAGGAATTAGAATTTTTCATCTTCACCGATCCAAAGTCTCCAACTTGGTATGTTGTGAAGTATTTCCTGTTGAGAACGTGATAGGATGCTGCAGTATCTACCACCCATTCCATGTCTTCTCTTGAGACATGAAGGCATGTCTCACCATGAGCAGAGCAATATGCGACATCACCTGGTGATGAGAGTTTCACCACCCTTGCTCTTGTTCTTCTGCTAAGAACTATTCATTGGCTGAGAATTGCTCTTACCCTGCTCCTCGAGCCATTTATTGCAATTCTTCTTCATATGACCTTCTAGACCACAATGATAGCACATATGTGATCTTCGATCATCTGATTGCCTCCCCTTGCTTCTACCCCTGCTATTTCCTCTACCGCTTCTTTGTTGCTTGCCTTGTGGTCTTCCTCGATTTTTCATTACAAGGGCATGAGTCTGATCTGTGCCCATGTCTTTTCTTCTTGCCTCTTCATTGAATAAGGCATCCTTGACAACGGACATGGAAAGTTTGTCGTTTGAGGCTGAATTGCTGAGAGTAACAACGAGTGTTTCCCAGCTATCAGGAAGGGAACTAAGAAGTAGCAGAGATTGCATTTCATGTCCAAGCGGCATCTTTATACAAGATAGCTGATTTACCAGGCTTGGGAACTCACTAGTATGCTCGGAAACATAAGTTCCACTTTTCAACTTCATATTGACTAAACGCCTCATCAATAAGGCCTTATTCCGAGCGGTCTTGGCCTGGTACATATCCTCCAGCTTCCTCCAAAGGACATATGCGTCGGTTTCTTGTGCAACATGATGGAAGACACTATGATCTATCCATTGTCGGATTTGACCAATAATTTTTCTATTGATTTTCTTCCATTCTAACGCCTGGTTAATACCCTTCAGCTCTATTGGGTCAAAGAGCTCTTTACAGCTGAGGAAATCTTCCATCTGAAGTTTCCACATCGTATAATTGGTAGCCGTGAGTATAATCATAGCTCCTGAAGATGAAGTTGACTCTTCCATGGCCATTTTACACCTTCAATGATCTGTTTGGGACCAANGTAGCGGTTGACTGTGATCCAATTCTTAACGTGGCAGCTCATTGGGATTGTTGACGTGGCAGTGACTGGACCCTCTTTACTGACGTGGCAGGTGACTGATCTGCTGACGTGGCAGATGACTGGACTGCTGATATGGCATGTGACTGGGGCCTTCCTCGCTGACGTGGCGATGACGTGTCATATGATGTGGCAACACGTCATCATCTTCTTCCTCAGATTTTTTTTTTTCAGAACTTCAGAAGGCTTTTTCAGGCAGCTCTGGTGTCCTTTTTTCGCCCGTAAGATACCGCCGTGACCGTCTCGACGAGACGAATCTAACGGTGTCCTCGGAATTTAACTCAGAAACTCAAAATTTCTACAGAAGCTCGTAAAATTTCAAAATTAAGCTCGAAACCAAGCTCTGATACCACTTGTTGTGGTATCATCCCAAGATCATAATCATAATTGAGAGAAAAACATGTTTCTATTACTCACAAGAATAAAAATAAGAGATTTACAAACTCTGAAAAAAAAACTCTCAAACTCTCCACAACTCTTCTTGGTTGTGTTTCAACACTGTCAAGGTTGATTGATCACACTCGAGGATGATTCAAATGAATGAAATGAGGCAACCTATTTATAGATACAATCAAGCACACCATTGTTGACAAATGGTGTGTGAAAAAAGAAGGTTGGTGGAGGTAGCTATTGAAGACTTCTTCATTTGTGGGTTTCAACTTTTTTCATTGGTGTGGTTTGCATGGAACTTTCAGCTCAGGTCGTAACAATCAAAATAAAAAAATAAGAGTGATGACCGTGAAAAAAATATGAACACAAAAAGGACCAACCACAATGATTATTGAACACGGTCCTTACTGTGTTATTTGAACACAAAATAATAGCCTGGCCAAGTAAACCTCGTTATAATTTCCTTTTTCTGGCTATTCAATTTTATCACAATTTTCACCCAATTGCTTAAGGTATGATTGGTTATTAACTTAATCAGAAAAAAACCAATTAAAACTCAAATTTAACTCAACTCCACTATCTTTAATATTATTAGTATAATTAAATAATATTAACAATCATTATTACACATCACAATCACTTTAATTCACTATTCATCTACTAACATAATTTTAGCAAATCATCACTCATAATCATTTTTCTCCTACTTTTACATCAAATCAACTTTAATTATTTTATTCAAAATATTATTTTAATATACTCACTGACAACTAATCATACCACATTTTTCAAAATTAACTATAGTTAAAAAAAAAAAAACCAATCAAATCCATATCCAACCACACCCTTAAGATACACGCAGTTTGCATGTTACTTAAACGGGAAAAGAAATATGAAAACAGACTTGGGTACAAACTACAAATGATATACATTCAACAGGTTAACAAATCCATCAGAACCAACCCCTTGACTGCTTTCAATCCACAGCGTATTATGAAGCACATCACAACACCTAAGACAGTGTCACAATCAAGTACATGGAAACCTTAAGCACAAAAGCCTTGGAAACTTTTTGAATGATTTGGCTTAGCCTCAGCTACAAATGTCTAAAAATTGTACTTTCAGTCACCTTGAGTTGCTGTTTTCTGGTGAATAAACGTACTTTTCCTAAGAAGCTGGCATAAAAGACAGCTAAACAAACAAATGACAGTAAGAGTATGACCGGCTTCCATTTAGTAGAATAATTTGGTGTGCAGGATTTACAAAATGAGTTAGAAAGCACTTGAATTGATCCCAGGATGATAGTCAGCATGACTTATCACGATATAAAAAGACGCTTTTCAACATCAGAAACTCCACCGGTCTAGTTGTAATTTGGCTTCAGCCATGTCTTTCTGGGCTTTTTTCCTCCGATAAAATATTGGACAATCCCGACTGCAAAGAGCATGAACTTATCAGAACAAAAATAACCAATCCATAAGAAAGCAACGGATCGAGACGAAGATCGTGTCTTGAAATGCCAGAATCCAAAATATTGATGTTGATCGATGACGGAAAGAATAATAAAAAAAGGGAAAAATTGCATAAAAACACCTTTTACGTGGTTGCAATTTTCTAAGCACCAATTTAAAATTTGGTTATCAAAGATATCAATTCAGGTGTTTTCATAAATCCAATCATGGGCAAAACCTCCGGCAGCTGACATCTCAAGTGGTATTGAAGGAAATCCCATTTGTAAACAAGTAGAAAATGATACGTTTGAGGTTTGACCTTATTACCTGATGACCCAGTTATGTTTAAAAATTTGCTTAAAGCCCTTCACATTAATAAAAATAGTACTTTAAAGCCCTCAACTTTAACATTGAATGTAACTTTGCAAATACTTGTAATTTTGGAAGTTAGCAACATGGAAAAAAAATGAATGCAGACCAGATGCTGGGTTTGTGGCTGAAATTACCAAAAAATAATCCCAGCACGATTTCCAGAAATGGTTAAACAAATACAATCCTACACAAGCAGTAATCAGAAAAGCATGTTAGAGAGGGAACAAATATCTAACCTAGTGCAAAGGACATCCTGATGAAGCGAGCCTTGACACTCTTGGCATTGTGTCCATAGCCTACCAAAAAGCTCCTCCAATTCCGCAACTGAAAGAAAAGAAAAACGTTTTTTTGAGACATCTTGAGTAGCTAGTAAGAGAGCTATTCCACTGCTACTTAACAAGTTAACATAAAAATTAAAGAGGCTTATACCATCTAGACATGAGAAAGAGAGCACATACCATTAGCTACGGATTTGCAGTAGAGTTCTGCTTCTCTTCCTTTGCAGTGCGCACATAGAGTATGATCGGATTCACTGAACGCGGTGAAGGGTTAGAGACAAACAAACAGTAATTTGTTTAAGGCAGGGGTAATTATGTCATAAATAAACATCTGGACAACGAGAAGGCATTAGGACAACCATGCATGTGCAATTAGCATAAGAGTTAATAATGTGTCCCTTGAAAATGCATATACCAAGACCACCTGACAGAAAAGCAAACAATAGAATATACCATCTCTCCTTTTCAAATTCAGTGTGATACAACATTTTACTTTGAATTTTGCCACCACAGGATAAATTAGAAAAAGAACGAACTTCAGAAAAAACGAGGCGGACAACAATGCAATTACTATCAGTGCCCAAAATTACGGCCTACAGATAGGGAATGTTTAAAAGCTAAAAGTAAAATATAGTCAATATCAGAGGAGAGGTCAAAGCTGGGAAGAGCAAAAACAGATAGGAAGCACGACGAGGCCAGTAATATAAATCCGGTCACCAATTCCATGTGGCATAGCCATTATCTGGGTAATATGAGAACCAACCCTCCCTAGGACAATAGACTTAATTTTACACGCAGAGTCCAGAAAATGAAGCCTAGCGCAGGACTTCTGCTCAGGATAAAAATTCCATGAAGTACCTAAACATTTTGCTAATGTGCTCCCAAGTCTGCAAAGAACTTAATTTTGAATTCATACAAGCAACCCTACATAAAACATTCGTCTTGTCTATGTACCGTTTCTCATAAAGCGAATCAGTGAAATCAAAACCCAGCATTTTGTTATATACCCATCCATCTGATAGTATTTATTAGAACGAATTTTCATGAACATTATAGAGAACACCGTAACAAATTGAGTTTACCGAATCAAAGCCTTGCATCCTATGCAAGTCAGTTGCTTTTTTGCAAACTTCATGATGCCACCGGTTGAAGGAGTAGAGATAGAAATAGATCTTGTATGACTTCCTTGAAGAAGCTCTTTACTAGCATTCTTCAAGATAGGTTCAAAGATCCTCAGCAATGGCTGCAAAAGAAAGTTCTTAGTGACGTGGTTGAGAATCAGCAGTCGCACCATAAAATTGCAACACAAACCTTGCTAATTTGATTTTCAAGGTAGTAATTGGGGTCTATGGGAATGTTGTTTTCCAACACATAGATGGGATCCTCCGATCTTTCATATGCCTGTTTGTCATCACTGAATCAATTTTCTGCGTCAGGTTTTAGGAAGTTAAAAATGGTCCGTATGAAAACTTACCTTAGCCCCTTTGGCCGCTTTTACAATGACATAAGGTACTCGATCCCCGACATTTGGAGCGGTAGCAGCATCTCTCTTTAGTCAAAACGAAGGAGAAAAAGGCATATATTCATAAAAACATTGAGATATGACAGAAGGTAACTATCACGAATTCAGGTCAACACAAGAATGTTCAATCTTCAAGGGAAGATTAACCAGCTCAACTTAACCTTATGATGACTACTGAAGTAAATCATTAATGATTTACAAGCTCCTAGAACAACACCACAGAACAAAAGAAAATGCAGTGTGTGGACATGATACTATAAGAATAGCTTTATGAGTGAAAATTCCACCTCTTCCGAGTGGTTTAACTAAAAAGTGAATAGGAGACACCAAAGTTAAGTTAAACATCTCCAGGAAATCAAAGTTCTGGGAGTGTGTAAGAAACTAGAGAGTATACAGTCATATTAATAGCTGAGTTTTTTTTCTGAATTTGTATTCAAATAGGCAGTTCATTGAAGTACAGTTTCAGTAGGAAGGCTGTTAAGTGCCAGGCGAAGACGGCTCTTGGTCACTCAAAGATGTGCGACAACGATTAACATAATTCGCATCATTTTTCAGACAAATTTGCCGTGAAAGCATGATATGCAGAATAGCAAGTGATATTACAGCCAAAACTAACTACATATCAGTTATGATGATGAAGAAATTGAATAACAGACCTAATTATGCATACACAATGGCAAAATGATCTTAATCACAAAATCATTTAGTCATTTTCAACCTTGCGCATTCGTTCCGCGAGCTCCACGTGTGCTGCTTTAACTTCATAGTCATCTCCTGTTTTCGTGAGACCCTAATAAAAGAGAGAGAGAGTAGTGCAAGGATAATCAATAATGCAATAAAAACAGGTAAAAAATAATAACTAAAAGAGGCAGAGACATAAGTCCAAGTAAACTTCCAGGCCTAATTTATTACCTTGGTGATAACCAACAGGGATAAATCCATTCGGTTCATGAGAAGATCTGAGATTGTATTCTTGACATACTGAACTGCCCCAGGGATATCTTTGTCTATCAATATTTTATTGAGGCACTCACTCACAAGGTTTTTGACCAACAAGCAATTATCCCTTCTAACGGTTTCAATACCTGATAACAGTTTGGGAATCAATACGCTGAGCTAGTGCAATCAATGAAGAAATACATAAAAGATAAACAATGGATTGTGCACATAGAAGTAGAATGAGAAGTCTGCTCACCTTTGGTGTCCATCTTGTCAAACTTTGTTGGATTTGTCCAGTAAAGACCAGCATACCTCTTTTTACTAATTAGCAGATATGGATAGTAAACTTTTTCAAACTCTAGTTTAATCGGCTGACAAGAAAAAAAAAATGACAATGGTAAGAAGAAAAGAATAAGAGAAGACAAATGGAGCAGAAAGCATGGGTGAAGGAAAGAAGTAAAGATGGATGCAATAATGACAAATGAGAAAATTAAATAATATACAAACCTGATAATGAATAGGTAACTATCTTTTCAGTGTAATCTCAAATACAAATATTAATAAAAGTTCAAAAACAACCATTAGACAATAAACAAGTTACACACACAGANAAAAAAAAAAAAACATAGAAGGTAGCACAGGCATATAAAAACAATAGTAAGGCAAGTTGTATTCAGAAAGCTACTTAATGTGCCGAGCACTGTGCATATGCACAACTAATGAATAAATTCACAATAAGTGAAACATGAATGCTGACAAACTTAAGAAAAGCCTGATGCTACCCATAAATAATACATAAGCAAAAGAATGTGGAATGATAAGATATACCGGACCCGAGATAACAATTTTCACAAATAGATCAGATAATTTGGAGAAATCAGATTTTAACTGCATTAGAATAAGCAGATTAAAAGATTTGGTTGGTGCATTCAGAAACAGACTGGAATTACCCAAGTAGCCAGAGGACAACTCCTTTCACCGAGTTTCCAATTTCTTCAGTCTCCTTTTTGCTAGATGCATTTAGAGATAGTAATGAATGATAGGTGAAAAGAAGAAAACCGAATAACTTACCTTGATGAAGGTCCCACTGATATAATCAGCAGCTTCCCTACCCAAGTCCATGGCTGCTTCAACTGAGGACACACCAAACTGCACCATCACAGAATCTGTATCTCCATATATGACCTGCTTAGCAACATCATACTCATTTTTTTCCACTGCATAGTGAACTACAAAAAATATATTGAACACAGGAAGTACATATAATGGTGCGTGCAACATCACAGACAGAAGAAGCTATAAAGTACTCGCCAATGCTCACTTCAAAGGAACAGAGCAAATTGATCAGAAGGGGAGTGATCTGTCTATGACTTAAGCTATGCCTCTGCAACATGTTTATAGACATGAACTGATAAAATAAATAAAAGGTATCTTTCCTTTTCAGCACAAACAACGTGCAGTGCAACACGACATCCTAGGATATTGGAACGCATTACTAAAAATGAACAAAAGTTGAATTTGTCTTTATTCTTTATTTCATTACAGTTTTCTGAATAAAGAATATGCTTCATTTTTTAAAATGTCAACTAGCTAGAAGACCCAATATAAGTTCAGTCTTAGATTGAATTTTACAGGCAACTTACTCAATGCATGTGAATGAAAATAGTACAGAAGCATTTCGCACTTTTAGCAAACTCAATAAAACCTTAACAAGCCACGGAAACTGCTTTGACTGAATACACAATGACATCTTGATTATCAGCAATAAGATTAACACATTCAATTGAACTTGCTAAACTAGATCAATTCTTGACAGCAGAAATAGAGGCACTATTATGGGAGAACCTATTGCTCCTTATGTTTAATATCAGGGTTATACAACATTATATCTCAAAATACAAGATCAAGGTAACTTGGATTACTCTTGAACATTACAGCCATGACTAACACACTTCATCTCTTTCAAGAAACAATACAATGCTATCAAAAGAATCCAGCAATCTTCGTTATGACAAAAGTTCCATTAAGACATCCTGAAAGTAAAGGGACAGATCAAATATTCTGTACTTGAGATCCAAGCAATGGAGAGATAATATAATTCCACAAGGAATCAGGAAAAAACAAAGACACAATTTGTGAAACTATTCCAAGAATGCTAATTTCTCCATGTTCACTGGAGGTCTCAACATTTTTCTTGTTGAGAACTTGACTAATGCTGTTTTGGATCATAGTTGAAACAAAAAAAATTCTACTGTCAACTTATATATATATATATATATATATATATATATAATAATTGATCGGGTGATGCAAGAATAACACATCAAAATGTCAATTTTCAAAAAAACTTGTCTTATCAATGTTTCATTAAGAGAATGATATGGGCGTTATACCTCGGCATTGTGCTCATAGCCCCCAAGCACAGTGAATTTATCTTCAACTAGTTTTTTGGTGTGTTCAATCATCTGTCGACCTTTGGAAACCAATAAATAATAGTTAGATGACAGTTAGAATAAGTAATTTCCCATAATTAGGAGTAAATGTTGAAGTTATGCACCAAGACTTCTCTAGTTTATTACCATAGCTGGTTACACTTGAAGATATCTCCAAACAAGGTAACTGGCCGATGGTAGCTCCAGTAAATCCATATACGGAATTTGCACTTATCTGAAATAAATCAAACAACAAAAGGTGCAGTACTGTATATAATTAATAAAATAACATATGACAACATGTTTAATCAAAACACATGCTAGAGATGTTTTACCTTTAAAGCCAGTTGCCGACCATCTAACACAGCTTTCTCAAGAGGATCTTTTGCTTCCTAAACATCAAATCATTACAATAAGATCATCTTGGTGAGAAGTTTATTAGTGGAAACATTAATAAGATTCACAGATTTATCAGAGGATAATAGCATGAAATATAACAGCAGTATGGCACACAAAGTGTTGAACTTAATGAAATATCTAGTAGATGCACCATATGACCAAAATCAATGAGCAGTCCACATCCTCGGGGATAACCACCACAATAATCGGACCCAGCACATCCCCGATTATTTCAGTTCAATTTATAGCCTTCCAAATAAAGACACATTTATAATTTGTCCATTTGAAGAACTATGAGTTATTTGTCCAAAGAGTTATTATTTCAAAGAATAATAAAAAACTGAGAATAATGATGATACCTCAATCAATTACTTGATCAATAAAAATACTAAAGAAACTTACTCAGTAATTATTATCTATCCATGTCATCAAGGATTCAAAATACTTAGCAACATCAGTGCATGAGACCTGAATATTTAATTCCAACCACAACCCATGAAAATAATATCAAATTGATACATCAACTGTAACCGAAGTACATTCACATCTTTTCAGATTCCTAGCCCCCACAAAAAAATATTGTTTTTCAGTGCATCATTTTGATCATTCCAATACAAATTCTATGTAAGTGGAATGGAAGAATTATGCTGAACAGCAAAAGATATAAGTTGAAAAGATTATGTATCTTCTCACAAGTACACTTTTCCGAGCTTTGAGAACCTTTCCAATTAACAAAAAACTATGATATTGATCATGTTAAACCCATATCAAACTGAAACAAGAGGTTTGAAACTTCCAGCAGAGGAACTGATTTAGCATTGCCAGTACTAGGCCATTTGCAAGGTAAATTGGCCTCTCAAAGAAAAAACTGAATAAAGTCGTACCATGTTGCCAAGGAAGCAAAGTATATAGTGCAGTAACAAGAATAAATTATGAGAGGACCTTCAAATCTGCTTTAGCCCTTTTACGTGCAGTCAAAAGTTCTTCAAGAATTTCTGGCAGTATCCCCTGACATGGAACTCAATCAGTAAGAAAGGAAAGATAAAACCCATGCATAACGAGAACTCACAATTTCAAAACATCAAATGGGAAAAGATGCCAAAGTTTACCTTCTGTAAATTCGATTTGACAAACTTTTCGCCAGATGGAGTTTCATTGACACATTCTGGAGGCAAATTAAGTTTACGGGCATCTTCTGAGGTTACCTATGTTATAAAAATAATAGACGGTGAATTTACATCTTGGTTCATGTGGATCTCAAAGGATATAAAATTTTGATTTACAAACTCTACATCATAAAAAAATTACCAACACGCCCAACCCCAAACCGGGACAAAAAAGTAATACACCGTCGAGCAAACATGCTTACCAGTGTACAATAACATAAGTTATATGCCATCATAATTGATGGATATAAAGATGCAAAATCAAGTGTTGCAATAGGCTTATCATAGAATCCTGCTCTGGCTTCAAGAACCTGCATTGAAATTTCTTGCCGATCAGACAGCATTTTATTCTTTGTCCAACAATAGCTCCACTGGAGGAAAAAGCTATCAAGTTCTAATACTGAAGTTCCCTACTCAAGCCGAGTATGACCTAACGTTTACAAACTTAAAATATGTTATTATCTGGAGTAAGAGTCAAGCATTCGGATTGGCGCTTGACTAAAAATTGTTCAAGCACGGATGTTAGCAACCTAACGAAAGTCCTGGCAGCTGCACTTTCTGCTCAGCAAAATCAGTCTGTTCAGGCTCCGTATCAGTGGTATTTTAATTTACTAGCCAGTCTAGTCTACAATTATCATCCCCAGTAAGGCAATGTGGGGCAACTTTCTACATGACTATATATCTGTGGATTCATATAATTGCAGAATTGAAACTTACAGTTGCACCCTCATAGGATCCCTGTTCTGATCCAGCCTGTTTCACATTTGGTATGACTAGATTCTTTTGTTTTGCTTTCCGTAGAAGCTGAGACAGCACCTAAGGATAAAAATTCGAATTAGATCTGCAGTTCATAATCTTCCAACCTACCCTGTTACTATCAAAAGTAGAGCTATATATTTCTCAAGAAACCTTAATGCTCTGCCCTCTGGAAAGTAGAAATGACATGGGAACACCAGTTACACGAGCCATCTCCACATAGTTATAAACAAACATTAACTTATCTAGTAAGCGTTGTGGAAGGTAAGCATCCTGCACATTGTTAAGCCTTTCAGCAAGTGCATATAATGGAACAGATGAAACATTAAACAACAATTCATGATAACAATTTAAGACCATGAAGAAGTTGGTAAGCTAATAGTGGATCCATAGCAGACTTCTGTCTTCAGAATTGAATCATACTTGTTGCCCCACATTCCAACAGAACAAAAGTGGAAGTGAGTAGAACTTTTATTAGTAGACAAGAATGACATCTCCAGGCACGCTTGAGAGAAATGTTGAAAATAAGTTAAAAGAGTCAACAGAGCTCTGCATGCTTGTGTTGCAATAAAAGTTGTATTTGTTCCTAGAAATTTGGTAAAAGATATATTCACTTGTTGTGATTTACCTGCTTGGTCATATTGTCTCCCAAATTAGTTTTATACTTCATGCATAATAGAAAGCACTATAATTGTATTTTCTCTCACCTGAAAATATCTAATAATCATATAAGGAACTTTATAAAATCCACCATTTTTCCTGTCAATCAGGCAATTCGATAGAAAGAAATGAAAACTGACTCCGAATGGTGGATGGGAAAGAAAAATAGTAGGAAAAGAGAAGCAAATATGACAATGAGAAAAGGGAAACAGATCTGCCAAAAAAGGATATTCCAGCCTAAATTTATTGAAAAAGGTAAAATAACAAACACGCATGACAAGATTACAACATAAGCCTGAGGCACATTTAATAACACACCATGCATGCCAAGCCTGTAATGTGGTAACATAAAAAATGAGTAGCTCCAAATGCAAGAACCTAGAACTATCATTAACCTTCAAACAATATACAGCAAGACGCCTCCTGGTCTCTGAATTCCCATTCTGAAGGTCAGATATAATCGAATGATGGACATCCTCTTTCTGCACAATTAAAACAGTTAACAATATTAAAGCCACTCAATCAACGAATCAGAAACAGAACCACGTAAAAGTTGGGTGACATAAAGATTGACCAAGTAAAAAAGATTATAGTTTCAAATGCATCATCAATGAAAGCGGAAATTTTTTAAAGTATAATCTCATGCTTCAACATGTGTCAACAATAACAGTTACTTAAAAAGAGAAAACTTCATGATTATACAAATTACACATTTAGATTGCCAAAATAAATAAATAAATTAAATACCAAAAAAGAGAAAAGTTGATACAATTTGAAAAATCCTGATTACATCTACGATTAAGATGAAGAGATAAGACCACCAATATCATGTTCTGTAGAAACTGGTTATGGTTAATTAATTATCAAGAAGTTGCCTCTTAAAGTGGCAAAAAAGATATAGTTTGCTTCTGCTATTATATGTTTCTTCTTCGATTGCATATTAAGTCAGCAATATTGTGGCTCTAAAGATTCTAGACTTGCAACATCTCAAACCAGACAATCTGGTTTTTCTATTTTCTTTTTATTTATTTATTTTTTTTTTTTAAGCAAAGATTCCTGGAAAAAAGAAATAAAACTCTCATTCGCCGCTTTAACCGTAAAATAGTAGGTTGTAGGTGAACGGACATTTTTTCAGTTAGCCGTGAGAAGCACGTTCTTCCCGTTCCACAAGCCAGCACATGTTTCTCAAGAATCATGGAGAGTTATACATCTTGAGACGAAATTAAAATGAAAAAGGTAAGTTACCTTCTACAGAAATACGATTTCAAGATAAAGAATGCAGAATTTCATGTCTAGGGCAACCAGGCTATCCCTGGGGCAGAGTAAGTGAGATAATACTGGTCCAAAAGGAATCTCCCTATACGCAGTCTCAAAAGGCTAAGGCAAATTAAATTAAATGGACTATTATAACTAACTACTCATATTAGTTTAGTAGATGACTAAAACTCACATTATATCTAGAAGCCAGTAATATTTTCAGACATTCAACCTATACATGAAATTTGGAAGATGTCAGAAGTCCATTTTTATTTCATTCAATTATATAATTGGGCTTTTGGTTTCATTTGATTAGAATATCCATTAAGGTTTTGTACTTATGACTCTGTTTAAGTAGACCATCGGTTGATACCTAGGTTTATCTTTACTCGAATTGAAATTGTCGAACTTAGGCTTGGGTGGGAAGTTTCTTCCTGATTCAGCACATGCGCTTGAGATAAATTTCGCCAGTTAAAATCGATTCTTTTTCAATTTAAGTAAATAATATCAGTTTTATTTTTACTTAAACCATTCACTATTTGGTGGACTTGCCGGATGCGAATTTGATGGAGGAGACGGTAAAGAAGGGTACTACAACATTGTCGACACCTATGCATCATTAGTTGGGACAAATTGACCGAATTGAAGGGTTGCCAAAGCAACTACTTCATGAGAAAAAGGTTGCTGCCTCCCACAGCTGTTGCAAGTTCTTATAGTGCCCCAGCACCCACAATAGAACTTGTTCCTCCCGTAGTTGTTGTGGCTGCAGCACCTAGTCCTCTTGTTGTGTTGGCCTCAGCACCTGCACCTACTCTCCAGGTGACGAGGTCTTTCACCTTCACTAATTGCTAGTCTCACTACAACTCATGCTCCTGCTTGTTTCACTCAACAATCAACGTTTCAGAAGAGCATAGCCATTCCAAGGACAGATCTCGTGGACATACCAGCTTGTTGGTTCATGTACATGATCTCAGGTCACCGTCTTTGAGGGTTCATGATGAACCTGCCTCTCTATCACTTGATGTGTCCGTTTTTGCTCTTTGGCCATTCAAAGGTGCTGTTACGGGAATTCGTCCAAAGCAATTTGCCTACTTGCATTGAAGAATTGGGATGTATTTTGAAGTCAATTTCACAGCCTTGAGGACAAGGCTGTTCTGAACGGCAGGAGAATTTTTAGGGATAGATTTTTATTTCATTTTATTCAATAACTGAGCTATCCCGTTTGATTAGAATATCCATTAAGGTTATACTTAGGATTGGGATTGGGACTCCATTTAAATAGAATAACGGTTGAAATTGTTCCATCTTCAACTTAATTAAATCTGTTTCAGTTTTATTTTTTCTTAAACACTTCATTCCATCAGAAGATTGAGGAGAAAATATATAGTTCAGCTGTCCAACTGTAAGCCCTATCATGGTCATTAGTATCACACCAATGTGCAGTAAGTCAAGTTCCAAATTGGGTAAAAAAAAAAATAGTGACACTTGTTTGAAGTGCTTCTATTTAACTAAAGATATAATATTCTAACATCACAATCAAGTTACAAACATATCAAGTTAATTCAGAACAAACAATTCAATGATTGTCTAAAGAAATATGAACAAAACTTACCTGCTCGTTAAGGAAGTGTGCAGAAACAGAATTGAGGGAGTAAGAACTTAATTTGTAATCCCTTTGCATAGCCTGCAAGAACCAGAAAGTGGTTGAAGACTCCTAGAAAAATATTTCTTGAATCCTTCATAATCAGGGAATATCGCATGTAAGGCGGAAAACCTGTAGCAAATCAAACTGAACTCTCCCTTCGATTGTAACTTCTTTACTTTCCCTGGTTCCTAATTGCCTGCCGCTCCAGAAGCAATGTTAAGTTAATTAGTCTTTGAAAAGCTATGTAAAAATACAAAAACCATTTCATGACAAGGAATGGATAGTGTCCACAGAAGTATCATGAGACAACCAAGGAAGATGTATTAAAAAGAGAGAGGGAAGAAAAAAGAAAGAAAGAAGGACACATGGTACCCAATCTGTGACATGGCTTTCGACAATTTCAAATTTTCGATCTGTTTGTGTTAATAAACAGATTATAAGTGGACCCCTCGTTCTACCAAGCTTTTATGATGAGCAACAACATAATCAAAATGAAAGTAATACAATTCCAACCATAAAAATGAACTTATTGGTCAAAAAATAAAGGTACGACAAACAAAACCAAGGATTTAAATTGAAGAAACAGATGACTTTGGATGACTTATATCCAACAGCTGCAAACTCATTTAATGGGTGTAAATACAAACATGGACAGGAAAAACTTCTTGGTAACCTTGATGAAAATTTTGCATCTTTGACTCGGACCCTGGTGTTCCGCATGCGCCCAAGTACTGGAAATTCCGCTATCCCCAATACTTCTGCTCTCTGTAAAGGAAAACAGGAAAAGTATATAATTAGCTTGTTTAAGAATAATGATAACTATCATCTTTGGATGGCACCAGAAAATAAGCAAGAAGATTGGAATGGAGCACCTAAAAAGAAACTTTAAGGCAGTATAGACTTCGTCTCACCTGAATGAGGTATGGCAAATCAAATTTGCAGATGTTATAGCCAATTATAATATCTGGGTCCACTTCACGAATAAAATCCTGTAATAAAAAGATGAAAAATATTGATATTCTGAACTCAGTAAATGAAAGAAAACAAAAATCACTTTAAAATATTAATTCTTGGTGAAAATCCTGTTTCAGCCTAAATAAAAGCAATGTGTATCACATAAGAAGTCTAGAGATCCGTTTCATTTATAATTGTCACCGTCTGTCTATTCTCTACCAATGCTTTCACACAATTATCATTCTCAGCAAGCAGGTTAAGGATCTAGCATCAAACTTCAGCACCCATGACCTGACTGGCCATACAAACATTGTTTCGCATGGTTATAAAGGTGCAATATCGTGAACTGTCCGTTAACCAAATATAAGAATTAGGGCAGGGAAACTTTAAATATTAGAGGCAGAGACAGAAACAGAGAGTAACCACTGGGACAGATTAATATTGAAGCAGAATCATTGAACCAATCCCTGCGTATTACATAGTTCAAAGAGATTCATTGGACATGATAAAGTAAACTGGAAAAAAAAAATGTAAACATTTAATGCATGCAGTTCTGTAACTGAGTAGCCCAAGTCATTAATTGAAATTTCTTTTCAGCAGTTTTACAAAAGAAAGATATGTATGGCTAGCATATTGGGGGAAACGGCATTGGTTGCTGTCATGTCTATGGTGAAACTAACACTATGCTTGTCATACAAGTGCCAGGAACATTACCCTCCAAGCTAAAAAGACCTCCTTTTCAGTGTCGAATGACATGACATCAACGCCAACAATTGGTGAACAAGACTTAAGGGTCATCACATTGCGAACAAATGGCTGATTTTCTCCCTGTAAGGTTACTAGATTGGCTACCTAGAAAACAGCCAAAAAATAAGACACTGGAATTTGAGTCTTAGCAAATACATAGTTAGACATTTACTTGTAAACCTGGATAACAGGATCATGAGTGGGCTCAGGAAAATGGCCTTTTCTCCCAGCACACTCAATGTCAAAGCTTAATATGCGAAATGGAGCCATCTTTGAGAATTCCCCTTCAGGAGCATGACTGATCAAATCCGAATAACTAAGAGATTTGTAAAGGACGGGTCATTATAAAGGAATACGTTGTGTGAAAACAGTGAAATCAATATTGAGATAGTACTATTTTTAATGCATCAGGATACAGACAATCGAACTCTAACTGACAATAGGAGCAACTTTGTGCTGTCTTCTTATATTTTCCATTAGGAACCTCAATCCAGTTGCCCCCAACTATGTTGCAATCAATCATAAAGCGGAGAGCAAAAAGAACATTACTCTCATATGTAATAAAGCTCTTCGTGCTTCCATCAATATTAATACCTCTGTCAAGGATACCTGTCCAATTCCCATCTCAGATAACAGAGAAATCTAAATAAATGTTGTGAACAGAAAAGAAGAATTATAATATTACCAGATAACAAATTAACAAAATCCAGAAAACTAGATTAATTTGTGCCATCTACTATATCAATTCATAGTGCATTACAAGCTATTCTAGAATAGCTCATAATAACGAATATCTACTTGAATTTGAAGAACCTAAAAAATTCATACCACGACAGCTGGTAACCATTGTGGGCAGCGCAACTACAATTTTAAGAAACGGCTGTGACTTCTGCTGTTGATAAAACATAATGCTTCTTCTCTGAACCAATTCAATACGACGAACAAATTTGGGTACCTTATTATTTCGATTTGCTTCTCTCATCCTACCCTGTAACAACCACCAAAGTGACCAGAGATCAAGAGAACAATACAATAAAGAACAAAAGCTAGAAAATGCTTATTAGGAGCAATGTAATAAAGACAGTGATGAAAGATACAAACATGTAAAATAATTAGAAATACTACCTCAAGAACTTGATAGAGACGAGAGATATCATCAGGACCCATGCCTGGAGGGCAGCTGATGTAGAAGTATGGTTCAAACCCATGTACGAGACAGCAAACACTATGTCCTGGCAATAGGGAATTGTAGAAAATTTAGAGCGTATGTTCTTTTATGCAGGTTCCATGAAAATTTAGCTATATACCTTAAACATCGCGTCGCCAAATAACCAAAGGCTTATATTTCATATGAAACTCACACATGTACTTACAATGGAAGCTTAAAATAGGAGCTACATGTACTTATATAGAAGTATCTTCTCCCATTGCAACTCAAACATGCGAAGTGATTGAAATTCAAAAGGGAAAAGACAAGGCCCAATTCAACTCAGTCTAATTACGTCGTATAGTGTACAAAGAAATCAGTAAGAACTCTATTTTAACGTACAATTCCAAAAAATTCCGACTATAAATAAAAATTTTAAAAAAAATGAGGCAGTCCTACACTCCTACTCCCGTAGTAACAAGCACTCCAAAAATCTCTGTGAATGTTACACACACACACACACACGTGCATATATATATATATATATATATATATATATATATATATATATAGAGAGAGAGAGAGAGAGAGAGAGAGAGAGAACTGACCTTCTTTGGTCACTCCGAAAATCCTAATAATTGCAGCGGGGCCTGAAGAATTTGGCAGAAGTTCTTTGTGGCTATCTCCAATTACATAATCTATTTCCAACTGCTGGAAGACTGCAAGATAGAAAGTGAGGTTAAAAGTAGGCAACTGAAACTGCATATTTCATAGCATTTCGATAAATTATCCATTTTTACCTTCACAAAACCTAAAAAGATATGCATATATCTAATGCAGCAGTCATCTCACACACACATGTAAGAACAAGAACATCAAATTAAATAGAAACTGATTAGCACCATATACTGCAAAGTGCGATGAGTCTATTTCATTATCAACAAAGTGACAACTTCAGCTTGACAAATTTCCTACACCTAATAAAGCATTACATAAAAATTCCTAATCTTGCAACTCATAGGAGGCGAGAAACTGAAGGCAATTATTAATTAAAACTAAAAGGAAATAGATACACCAAATGAAAGAGACAGAGAGAGAGATTTAAAAAGCCACACTTAGAGCACATAGTACAAACACCAACAGTTCAAGATGAAACTGACTTTAAATTTCAACATTTACCAATGTTCTGAGACTGGGATAGGTACGAGGGGGGAAGTGCCGGACGCTTCCACTTGATAAGACGGTCGGCGAAGGCATTGCGCTGGGCATCCTCCTCCTCGTACTGCAGGAGGGTTTCCTCGAGGAATATGTCCTCGTCTAAATCCTCTTCTTCCGTCGTCGCATGATGCTTCAGCTGAGGAGATGGAGTTGCCGCCGGATTAGGCGGCGGCGCCGCGCGTTTCCTGGTGCTGCCAGTGGTGCTCATTGTTAATGGGGGAGGGTTTTGGGAGGTTGTGTGTTGAATTCCCGCCAGTTTCAGGAACGTGGAGTAGCTTTATAGGAAGGGCAAATCTATGTTTTCCTCATTTGATTTTTTTCTCTCTCCTCTTCTCATGTGAAAATTCACATAAAAGAAAAAAGTCTAAAGTTGGGGGTCAGCAAGCAATCACTTCGGTGGGAACCAGCGGCTGGATAGGTGGGACCAACTTGGAGCTGGGAGGGCCAGTGAGCAATCACTTGGGGATCGTCTCCTTGTGCGCGGTAGTTGAGGGTATGAACCTGTGAGCCATTGCGTGGCTACCGCGGTTTAACTGAAAGCAGTTTCTGAGGAGCCTGGGCTGTTTCCTCGAGGACTAGTCAGGCGCAAGTCTGGAACCTCGGTATCAAAGAAAAAAAGAAAAGAAAAAAGTCAAGAAAGAGCTCTCGGGTTAAAGAAAAGGTAGACCATCTCTCTTATTAGAATTTCGCGTCTTATGGCTCGACACTATTTTGAGCTCTTATTCCATTCATTTCAAGTGTTTTTTCGCTCAAATTTTTCATTCTCGGTTGCTTAACCTCTACCTCGAGTCTGTTCAAGTCTGAACCTACTCATTTTGGGCGTGATTTGTAGCGTATCTAAGCAGATTTTGTGGGCACCGTGATATAGTACACTCGCGAATCTTGCAGCGTTCCTGCTGAAAGTTTGTCCAATTTTGTTGCTAATTCGCGTATCCAGATGTTGTTGTACCAATTCCGAGCTCCTTGGCATAAATAATTCCAGATTTGAGGCGTGCTATCAGGTATATTCGTCACTTAGAGTTACGCTGCTACAGTGTTTCCAACATTTCTTGCTGCACATTCTTGGGAAAATGCTTAGTTGAAGAAGAAAACAAATTTTCGGCACTTGCTATTCGAAAATGTCTATGAACGTGATGTTCAAGAGGCTTAGCACGAGCTTGAAAAAGCAACAAACCCACCAGCAAGTAACAATTCAGGGGCAGGAACATCAGGTGAAACAAAAATCCACACTAGAGAGGATGCTTGTAATGAGAACAAATCTAGTGATAATGCGGAGTCTCTTGCACTTAATGATGCTTCAAACGTGGATATAGTTGCTGCGCATTTGGATGGACAAGGTGCCAAGCAATATCAAGACATGAGTCAGCCCAAGAACAATGCCCACAACGTGTTCGATGAAACACCCAAAGCAACCGTGCTACTCTTAAGCGACCTTATGCGGCGCTCTTCGCTGACAACCGCAAGCCCTCGCTTGGTCTTAAGTTAAATCATACCCCTCTTGAAAAGGAAGGAGTGGTTCTTGATGATAATGACATCACCGATGCCACACTCTCATGGGGATTCTGTCTCGTTGGGTACTTTACCCAACGGCATCCGGGCAAAGAGGCTCTTTTGAAGATTTTCTTTGAACGTTCGATATGAGTATGTTCCAAATGTTAACAGTTGGATCATTTTCAAGTTTAAATCCTCATAAGATAGGGCCAAGGTACTCGATGGGGGCCCATACCAAATTTATGGGTGCGGGCTCATCCTCAAGGAGCTTCCAAACTGGTTTTAGTTCGGGGAAGATGACGCCAAAAAAGTACCAGGATGGATCAACCTTCCCCTCCTACCAGCAGAATGTTGTAATTCTAAGGCACTTGGAAAAATCGCCTCTTTTGTTGGCGAACCGAAAACAACCGACAAATTGACGGCAACAAAAGAGTGTTGTAATTATGCACGGGTCTTAGTGGAGTTGGATTTGTCGAAAGAGAGGGTGTATAGCATCCATATCTCCACTAAAGATGGCCTCAAATTTGAGCAAAAAGTGGAGTATGAGTGTGTGCCCCACTATTGCAGTCATTGTAAATTCATTGGGCACTCACTTTCAAAATACGATTGATACAAAGCACACCAAGCAAAGAATGTCGAGGGTAAAAAAGTTGTGCAGGCCGCTAAGCTAGCAGTTGGAGCTGACGAAGGTAAAGGTGCTAACAACCCACAACTGGAGAGTGCACCTGAGCCTACCAAGCAATACGCAAAGGTCTCCTCGAGCAAGAAGGCAAAGAGTGCTGAGGCTGATGGAAAATCACCTAATAAGCATAAGATTGAATTGGTGGCCTCAAGTACAGTGCCTAAGGAATTGGATGCGGACAACTCCCTAGACACATCCTCATCAATCACCCATCTAGCCAATGAGAGGGACCAGAAAAACTTGGACTCCTCTCAGACCAATCCTGATGAAGCACCCTTCCATGTGGTTGGCTTGTTGTGAATTGGATGCGGACAACTCCCTAGACATATCCTCATCAATCACCCATCTAGCCAATGAGGGGGACCAGAAAAAACTTGGACTCTTCTCATACCGATCCTGATGAAGCACCCTTTCATGTGGTTGGCAAGAACAACAAGCCAACTAAGCAACGCAATTCCACAAATCAAATGGGAACAAGAGCAAGTGCATCGGCAAAACTGAAAGATAAGCTCACCATGAGGAAAGAGACGACCAAGGACAACCAACCGAAGAAGGGTCTTGCCCCTTCCTCCAAACAATGATTATAGCCGCATGGAACATTAGGGGCTTCAATGCGCCTCTAAAATAGGATGAGGTTGCCACCCTCACCCGTACGAATAACATAGATGTTTTGGGACTTTTGGATACTAAAACCGACAATAGGCGTCTCTCGCTCTTTGTCAACAAGCGGTTTCCAGATTGGGTTTTCTGTGATAATTTTAGGGTCAAAGATCACGGGCGCATTGCCATCCTTTGGAATCCTGCGAAAGTGGATCTCACAGTTCAGAGCATTTTGCCACATGTCATCTTTGTTATGCTTCACTGTAAGGTTAACAAACACTTTTTTACGACTTCTTTTATATATGGGCTTCATTCAAGAGGGGAACAAACACATCTATGGAAATCGCTCAAGTCCTCTCATGCGAACAACACCTTACCTTGGCTACGCCTTGGAGGCTTTAACTCAATCCTCAAGCTGGCGAAGAGAGTACATGGAGAACAAATCACTTGCAGGGACACCCAAGAGCTTACTGAACTCTGTACTTCATTGGGTTTAGCCGATATTCCTTCAAGTTGGTTCTTTCATACTTGGACCAACAATCGAGTATGATCCAAGCTTGACAGAGCAATGGTGGACAATGCTTGGGAGCAGGCCAACTGTTGGGATATATGAGGATCTCGTTATGCACAAGTCACGAATTCAATAGCAAATGTAAACCTATGCGCAGTGGATCTAAAGGTTTGACGTAGAAAACTTACGGCTTAAAATTTATGTAGATCTGGTTGACCACGAACGGTTGACCGCAATCACGTCTCGGGTTGCACGAACAAGATCAGATCAAAACCGGATCAAGAAGGTGCAAACGAATGAAAATGGATCTTGCAGTCAGACGGCTTTCGGCGGCGCGTGCGGCTTCGGACAGCGGAGATGGAAAGCTCTCGTCGAGACGGTCGTCTGGGTATGCTGTGCGCCTCAATCGGACCTCCAGTTAGTTCTGTAGGATAAAATATATTTCGTCTCGGTTTACCTACAGATCTTCTACTGTATTACTCAATACACCCTTCTTCAACTTGTATCAATAGAGCAACAAGAAGAAGATAAAGCTCGAAGAGATCTAGAGAGAGAGAGGCGTGGGCGTGTGTTTGTATTATGACAGATGTCTTCTCTTCTCATGAGCTTAATGATGTATATATAGAGCTACAGTAGGGACCCTTAGGAGATTAGGAATAGGGCTCCTTAATTAATTAGACTAACTGTGGGCCAAACCCACTCCTCTAATTAATTAAATAATATTATTGGCCACCAACATTATATTATTGCACTCCATTTTCCTAGCTCAAATTACATTTGAGACTCAAATAATAATTATTCGATTTATCTCCCTACGTTTAAGATATAATGTCCATTAATTAATTCGATTATTGACAATCAAGAATTAATTAATTTATTATTATTTCACCGAAGCTAGCGCTCATTCATCACATTCTTATTATGCCGGAACTTAATCCACCTGCAGGGTTTAGCATAACAATCCTTCATGAACTCACTCCGGGGACATCATCAAACTAACGCACATGGTGACCGTAAATATCCTAACAACACATCTTATATATAATAATATTATCCAAAACAGTAGGAATATTGATACAGTGAACTGAACCTCACCCAAGTGAATCAAAGTAATATATATTATATATATCTGCATGTTTAATATATTACGGGTTAAGAGAACGCAGTAATTAGCTGAGGCCTAGTTCATTTACGACGATCAGTATAAAATGAACTTCTCCTCTCTGGAATCCTGCTCAATACATAAATGTACTAGTGCAACTAATCAGTCAAGACAAACTGTACAGTTGACACTACAACCGTTCGGATGGGGTGTTCATGTCCATCTTGGTTGTGAACAACTATTCTTGTTCGCAAGTAACTGATAGAGTGATCTTCGGTTCGCCCGATGATGACCAACTCCATCTAAGTACAGAACAACAGAACGTAGAACTTGTTTAATCTAATATGATTCTCATTCATAAAGGGAAAATGTGTAATAACATGAAAAGCCAAGCTTTCAGTATATAACACCAATAATATATTCTTTAATGGACTCAACAACATCGACCGTGGGGGCTTACATAGCCCTGGCCTTCGAGTAACTAGGATCATGGGTTGCATGCTTAAAAATTGGATATGTGCTTTCAATGGTTTGAGCTGTCGCTTCATGTTTCTACGACATTAACGAGAGAATTACCTTTCTTGAGTAGAGGTCAGTCGGCCTTCTAATGTTTTGACTTATTGCACTTGTGGCATCTTCCTTTTGGTTTCTTTGCCACAGCGTGAGGGGCCAGTCGCTGAGCAACCGGAGCATCATGTGCCTTCGCCTTATCTGCAGACTTCTTTCTCTTCCTGCCCTTGTGAGGCCTGGAAGGTCCAGCCTGCTCGGCGGCTAGCACTTGAGGTGCCTGAGTGAATAAGGCCTCTGCCGGCTGAAGCTCTGCAAGCAGTTCTAGAAGATTCATATGCATCTTGTGCATGTTGTAGTTCAACCAGAACTGATCAAAGCTTTTCGGCAGAGATTGAAGCATAATATCAACCTGGGTTTCCCCGTCAATATAACCTCCCATAACCTCAAGCTCATTGAGCTGCGCCATAACTCTGAGGGCGTGCTCCCTCATGGGTGTGCCCTCGGCCATGCGCGTACTCATTAGAGCACTCAAAGCCTCTTGCCTAGCAGCCCTAGACTGATGTCCGAACAAATCTCTGAGATTGAGAAGTATATCTGCTGCAGTGTCTTTATAGACTGATGCTGATGTTGCAGAACATTCGACATAGAAGCCAGAATGTAACACTTTGCCATCTCATCAGCCTTCTTCCACCGAGCATACTCCTCTTTCTCCTGTTCAGGAGCATCAACTGGCGGCGGTGCGGCACCGCCGGGCAAGCATCAGTGATAGCAAACTTATAACTCTTAACAGTCAACACTATGTCTAAGCTCCTCTTCCAATCAATGTAAATAGGACCAGTAAGCTGATTTTCTTTTAGAATGACAGACAACGGATTGAACGACATGATGAATATCCTGAGAATCATGCAAATAAATTTTACAGATTAAACACTTTTGAATTTAACTGCTAATATTGATATCCTCAAAACAATATTTACTTAAACCGACATCTATTACACCTTGTGAGAATGCATGCTACGAAGGTCGCCATACAATATTAACACTTTTGAATTTAACTGCTAATATTGATATCCTCAAAAAAATATTAACTTAAATTCATCGACATCTATTACACCTTGTCACCGTAAATATCCTAACAGCACATCCTATATATAATAATATTACCCAAAACAGTAGGAATATTGATCCAGTGAACTGAACCTCACCCAAGTGAATCAAAGTAATATATATTATATATATCTGCCTGTTTAACGGGTTAAGAGAATGCAGTAATTAACCGAGGCCTAATTCATTTACGACGATCAGTATAAAATGAACTTCTCCTCTCTGAGATCCTGTTCAATACATAAATGTACTAGTGCAACTAATCAGTCAAGGCAAACTGTACAGTTGACACCACAACCATTCGGATGGGGTGTTCATGTCCATCTAGGTTGTGAACAACTATTCTTGTTCGAAAGTAATTGATAAAGTGATCTTCGGTTCGTCCGATGACGACCCACTCCATCTAAGTGCAGAACAACAGAACGTAGAACTTGTTTAATCTAATATGATTCTCATTCATAAAGGGCAAATATGTAATAACATGCAAAGCCAAGCTTTCAGTATATAACACTAACACCAACTTCCTCGCTCACGCAAAATTTTTGCCTCTGGGGATATCAGACCATTCCCCGTGTATTGTTTCTGTTCTTGAGGCAAGGAGCACGGCAAGGACACCCTGATGGTTTTTCAACATGTAAACGCATCATGAAAATTTTTTGCCCTATGTTGAAGAAATCTGGAGACATCGCGGCTCAGGAACAATGCAATACCGATCAAAATTAAAAAATTTAAAGAGCAAACTCAAGGAGCTCAATGAGGAGTCATTCTTCCATATCTCTGTTCGTACCAAGGCTGCTAAAAATTCCCTTAAGCTTGCCCAACAGATGCTTCACGACCATCCAGATGACGCTGAAATCAGGTCCAAGATGTCGTCACTCAGGCTCCGAGCCGTCAGTTTGGCCAAATCTGAAAAACTTTTCTACCAGCAGAAGGCCAAATGCCACTTTCAGATAAAGAGTGACAAGTGTACTAGATTTTATCATGCCATGGTCAAGAAGCGTGCAAAGTGCAACTTTATTCCCTCAATCATTTGTGAAAATGGGTCTTCTACCACCACCCTTGATGAAGTGGGCAATGAGTTTGTGTGCTACTATAAGAAGCTGCTAGGGACAAGGGCTACTACAGAGGACGTAGACCCCTACATCATTAACTCTGGGGCACGCCTATCCGATGATCATTGCAATATGATTATGGCACCAGTGAGCGAAGGCAACATCAAAGCTGTCCTTAAGGACATAGCAAGAGAAAAATCCCCATGACCAGATGGATATACTTCTACCTTCTACCTGAAAGTTGGGACATTGTTGGAGTGGATGTTATCACAGAAATACAAGAATTTTTCCACTCCGGCTCGTTACTTAAGCAATGCAACCATACGGCCCTCACTTTAGTGCCTAAGTCCATGCACTCTTCCTTGGTATCAGACTACAGAGAACAAACGAAGCGAAACGCGGTGAAGTGCCCGTCGCTTGT